TCAGCATTAATTGAATTTTTGGAACTAAATTCCTTCCAAAGAATGCCAAGAAGGATGAAGAAAAAGTTGAACAAGATGAAGAAGAAGATGTTGAAGAAGATGATGAACAAGAACCTGTAGAAGCTGGAGAAGAAACTGTCAAGATGGATGTTGAAGATAATGCCACCAGATGCTTGGCCTCCCTCGTCAGAATTTACTCTCAAAACCCAGTTGAACATTTGCAATATGTTTTAGAAAATATCAGCTCTGAAAACGTCTTGTACTACTTCTCTGCTATTGGTAGAATTTCAACCTTCTACAATGATGTCAAATTCATTGATGCTTACTGTGCCATTTTGAAGAAGCAATTCACTGAAGTTCTCACTTCCAAACAACCTCTTCCAACCAATATGAGCATTGCTGTTCAAAAGATGTTAATTTCCAGACTCAAGGCCTACGTTCAACATTTGAATAGTGAAATTCCAAGTAAGATTGTTGATACTCTCGTTCAAATTTGGGATTTGAAACCACAAAAGGATGTTCAAGTTGCAATTTTGAGCACCATCTTGTTGGCTATTAAGAATGATAGAACTGATCAACTCTACAATAAGGCCAAGAGTATTTTGGAACAAGCTACTACTCATGAATATGAAGATATTGTTCTTGCATTGGCTGGATTTGGTCCAACTAAGAATGTTACTACCATGAGAGAAATCTTCTCCTTGAGATTGAAGACTCTTGAACATCCAACTTCCAAGATTCAAACCTCTGCATGGTCAACTGTTTCCAGCTCTGCAACCACACCTTCCTTCATTAAGAGAGTTGCTTCAGAAAGTTTCAATCCTATTGCCTTGTTCAGAAAGTACATTGTTGATGCTGTTCTCACTTTTAATCCACAACAACAACACAATATTGCCAACGTTGCCATTGATGTCTTGCTTAAGGAAATTATTCAAACTCCAGAAGAAGCTGGTTCAATTTTACTTGACAGTATTTTGGTTCCTCTCTTGACTGAAGAAAAATACCAAAAACTCGATAGAGAAACTTACAATGCTGATATTACTTGGGATAGACCTGTTAAGGCTCGTTTGGCCCATATTGTCAATTCTCTTTCTACAAAGGTTGCATCTACTTACTTGCTCATTTCAGACAGCAATAAGCAAACTATTCAATCAAAGATTGTTTTACCACTTGTTGAAGTTGTTAAGAAGCACGTTCAAAATCGTCTTCCATATGTCTGCATTGTTTCATCAATTAATACTAACTGGAATGATGTTGACTCTGTTGTTCAAAACTCAATCAAGAATGTTGCCGATTTATTAAGTGATGTTGAAGAACCATTGAAGACCCTCATTTTGTCCAAGATTGTTAATCACTCACATCAAATTACTCTCAATAGATCCAATGTCAATGTTCTCCTTGATGCAGTTGCAAAGGTTTTGAATAATGCCAGTGAATTCTCTCAAACTGAACAAATTATTGCTACAGGAATTTTGATGAGTCTTGGAACTGCTGATGACAAGACAAGAGAATTGAAGAAGATTGCCAGAAAGAGTAATGTTCTCAATTTGTTGACTGAATAAATAGTTTACAAAGATTAATTGTATTAAATATTCATTTCAATTTGAAGTAGACTACGAAGGATCAGGCTCGCCTGCCATCCTCCTCAATATATAGGTTACCAAAGGATCAAATGTGTTAAAAGCATAAACAATAAACACAATTGACATTATGGCTAATACTACAAATAAAATAATTGCCAATCCTAATATAACTATTCCTACAATCTTAATTTCCGCATTCCCATTCAATCCAAACGTCATGGCCATTGTAAAATCACTCGCGTTATTGTAGTAACATCCAAGTATTGGTGTAGAATTGGTCAGAACAACGACATTAGTTTCGTCTAGAATCGAACAAGGAAATTCAACCTTTTCTTCTTGTTCTACTGTTATTGAATAATTATCTTTCCTGAGATAGTATCTCATAATTGTTGTATCCTTACAAGTTCCTCTTCCTGCACATGTGCTTGTTGCGATTTTACATTCCGAAGCAAAACAATCTTGATGATGGGAACCTGTCAATGTAAATGCCACCATGACAGTTCCTACAGAGCACGAGATGATCAGGATGACGCAAACGGAGAGAAGAAAGATACCCAACCGAAGGTAGAAAACATGCATTCGTCTTCGAGGTATTTTTTAGAGATCGAATTTATTCGAAAGTTCCCTTGTGTCATAAAAGGAAAGATTTAAAAATTAAATTTAATACAATGTGACCCAATTCCATCACAGATCTATCAACCAGGTTTGGTGTTTGTTTTTTTTGAGTTTTCTGTTTTCCTCTTCCAATATTTTAATTCTTTCCGAAAGTTTGTCAACATCCTCTAATATTTTAATTCGTTCCAGTAAAGAGTTCTCCTCCAATAGGTTAATTCTTTCTAATAGGTTGGTATTTTCATCAGAAAGTTTATCAACTTCCTCTGCAAGTTGAGAGTAGCTCCTTAATGGTGAGATTTTCTTCAATTCTCCAATTTCCTTTTCAATATTCAAAGTGATATCTTTGATTTCACCTTTCAAAAATTTCAAAATATTCTCAATGGTTAACTTGTGAGAATAACAATTCAATCTTTTTGATGAATCTCTTTGAATCATGCTAATAATGCTTCTAATCAATATGTTATTCACTCCTAAATCTGGATTAATCGTTTCATTGATTAGTTTTTCAATTGCATAATGTAATTTCATTTCTCCCTCTGTTGTTGTTACAACTGTATAGAAATATTTTCCATGTCCACTAAAATATGGATACTTGTCATTATATTTAGAGATATCTGAATCATTAACAAATCTTTCACACAATTGCAAAGGACAATTTGTTAATAATTTCAATAAAATACATCCCAATGAAAATATATCACACGAAATGGTAATTTGTCCAACATTGTGAGCAAGTTTTTCATCATCACCACTTTTCAATAAATCATCAGAATAATTATCATGTGAAACTTCAGGAGACATGTATGCAAACTTTCCACGAGCAATTGTAATTGAATTACCTGTCTTGATAACTCTTGATGTTTCAAAATCAATAATTTTGTAATGATCTTGAACTTTGACAATATTTTGAGGATCTAAATCTCTGTGCAAAATGTTGTGATCATGAATTGACTGAACTGATTTCAATACTTTGATAAATATTTCAAGAATTTCAATCAACTTTTCCTTCTTAATGAATCCATTTCTATAAATTTCACTTTCATTATTTCTTGAAATGTAATTTGATAATGATTCCTCTCCAAGTTCCATCACTGAATATAAATGATTTTGAATAATTTCACAATCAAAACATTTGATCTTTCCTTCAATATCTGTTCTTTTCAATAAATTAATGGTTTCTTTTGTTGATTCTTCAGATTCCTCTGGATCATATTTTAATTTTAATGCCCTTAATGATTTGCTACTTTTGTGAAATACTTTGAATGCAACACCTTCACCTCCATATCCTAACAATGAAATAAAATCATAATTATTTTTGAAATAATTATAGAAATAATTGAGAGCTTTGAATACTTTTGATAAATCTCCTCTCAGCTCATTATATTTACACAAGGTTTGTTTGTAATTTTCAAATGTTTGCTCATTTTCAAACCACTTGTTGGCAAAATTCATAATTTCAGTAATTTCCTGTTTTGTATAAAATGATGTTTCGAAATTTGTTGCAACTTGTTCCACAATATTCTTCAAATCTTTCATTCTTGTTGATTGACAGGGATTATCTTCAAGATATTTGTCCAATCTGAAACAAAATAAATAATAATTGACTCTTTCTGGAAGAAGAGTTTCAGTGGATAATTCTGAATGGTTCATTCGTTTCAATATTTGGAAAATAATCAACTTTTCAACAAATACTGGTGTATAGATAGAATTAAAATTGAATATTGTACCTTTTGGTGTTGGATTAAAGAGACTTGTTAATTCAATAGCATAATATAAATCCTTTTCATTCATAAATATTTTGGAGTATTGTTCAATTATATTAGTTGACAGCTTTGTCTGAAGATTAATGGATTCTTCAATTGTTTTGGTTATAGAGGGTGAGAACCTTCTTGCATTTACCTTGCTAAATTTAATTAATAAATAAATAAATATACTATCTTCTTTCAATGATGAATCAGCATATTGAAGTGCCTTTCCATGTTGTTTAACAGATTCCAATACAAATTCTCTGTTTTTCCTCAATGATGAATCTGCATATTTAAAAGCATATCCATTTTGTTTGACAGATTCCAACACAATTTCTCTATCTTTTTTCAATGATGAATCAGCATATTCAAGTGCATTTCCATTTTTTTTAACAGCCTCCAATATAATTTCTCTATCTTTTTTCAATGATGAATCAGCATATTGAAGTTCCAATCCATTTTTTTTAACAGCATCCAATACAAATTTCCTATCGGCCTATTGTTGTAGTCATCCATCACACGTTAATAAAATCCCATCACAAAACACAAACCCAATCTTCGCCAAACATTTTTTTTAAAGTATAATAATTATAATAATTATTATAATTATTGACATTTAATTCCTTCTCGATATATTATAATAATACCGATCACTTTCTAATTAAATTTTGATTTAAGGTCCTATCCACAAAAGACCTATATTCCGATCATTCATTTTCTTTTTGGACTATTGCTAATACATGCATTTTTGTATGATAAAAGAGGGTCTACTTGTCTTACATTTTTTTAATTTAAATTTAAAAAGAATTTGAAAAATTAAGTAAGCGTTTTTTATTTGAAAGATTTTTTACCTTAATTTTGAACTTGTACTACAAATGTGCTCAATCTTTGGCTGCTGTAATTTTGTTAATTAACTTTTGAATTGTTTCTTCATCCTTTCCACTACTTTCCAAATTTCTGTTCCATTTGACACTGAAAACATCTCTCTCCATGGTTTGATATCTTCCCAATCGAATCAAATCAGCCAAACAAATGAAAATTACTGCACATTTCTCATCAGGAATATCTTTCAAATATGTCTCTAACAGTGCTTCTCTTTCTTCGTCATGAAATCTTGTTGATTGATGAATTAAAAGAAAGAATGAATTTCTTGTTTCATTGAGGTTAATTTCTGATTGGGAATTCAACTTTTTGAATTTAAATTCAATGTTTGAAAGTTCGAGAGATTTCTTGAATTTTTCTTCTAAATATTCTTTAGTGATATAACTAACATTTTCAGAAATGAATTGAATTTGGTAGGTTTTAACTTGTGGAGAGGTAGAAATGTTTTCGTTTCTGTTTGTTTCTAATGGTGATTGAGTGGTTGTGTGACTATTGTTAATAACATTTGGTTGAATTGGAGAATTATTCGAAATGAGTTGAAACTTGGAATATTCAATGGCGATCAAGGTTGAAAGTAGGAGAACTGAAATCCAGAGAGGAGTTGAAATTGACCACATGTTTCGTTTAGTTTCTTTCACTTGTTGCTTTAATTCTTGAATGGAATTATTAATTGGTTGAATGGTAGATTGAAACTGTCTATTAATATTTCTTTTCCATTCCCTTTCAGGAATTTCAACTTGAAATGTTTGGATTGTTTCTTCATTCTCAAAAATTTCACTTTCCTTTTTCAATTGTTTTTTAGTTTCCTTTCTTGATTTTACTTCCATTTTAGGAATTGTAAATGTTTCCTCTTGATCTCCTTCATAATCATCAGAATGTCCATTTCCAATCGGAGATGATTCTGTTGGAGTTTGTTTTTTAACCTTCTTCAAAGAAGGTGAATATTCTTCACTCTTATTCGAATCGTCCAAATTTCTCTTCTTGGCACTTTTAACAGTAAATCTAAACGAAACCTTTCCACCTCCATCTTCTTCACCATAATAGCTTTTCTCCTCATCAAAATCAACTGGTGAAGAATCCATCTCTGAATCCGCAAGCATTTTTTTTCTATTAATTTTTGCAAATTGAAAGTAAACGAAACGTGAAGTTTTTTACAATCAACATCACGTTAAGTACTAATCGAGTCTTTCTCAATTATCTCCGTGTCTGATCCTGATCACGTTTTAAATTTTCCTATTTAAGCTTTCAAAGTTGTTTGAAATTTTCAAAAACGAAATCAAAAAAAAATTATGACAATAATTTCAAAGAGTGTTGATGAGAAGGTGGAATTTCCAAGTGAAACCTTTGCAAATCTTGAACAAGAAGAAGTTGATATTGATGTGGATGATAGTTTGAGTTCGATCACTTTCAAAACCGAAACTGTTTTGTTATCCGAAAGTGGATTGGAGAACTGGAGACAATCTGAAAGTATTCTTGACAGAACTGTTGAAGAAGATGTTGATCAAGAAGAAGAAGAGCAAAATGAAGATATTGCCAAAGGTCAAGTTGTTGAACAAGACGAAACTAAACCAAAAGGTGATGAACATGCTGACGAAAGATCAACCAAATCCTATTCGAAATATGTCACTGCTTCTCAAACCATTGCTGTCGTTGCCTTGATTGCAATTCTAATTGGTGTCCTCTTTATTCAATACGATACCATCAAAGCACTATTCGAAACTAAGGAGAAACCAACTCCTTGGAAGATTCCTCTCCTCCTTCATCAATCTACTCACAATCTTTACGATGGAAAACAAAATCTTCAAGTCAAAGTCTTCATTCCAATTAACAACACACTCGAAAATGATTTCTATTTTGGTGTTAAAGTGGAAGATTCCAAATATGTCAAAATGTATAATTTCTCAACATTTGAACTCAAGCACAATTCAAGTCATCCATGTTTTCAAGATTATCTTGTTATTGAAAATGTTAATTATGATCCAAATAAGGAGTTTATGGTCAATTATACCATGCCTATTCGAACTGAGAAGAATTGTTTCGAACATAATTTTACGAGACTCCCAAATGAATTCTCCTTCCAAGTTAAGGTAAAGGATATTGATGGAAATTCCCACTTCTTTACATTCAATCAGACCATTAGAGCTAATTTCTTTATGGGAAAGTTTGAAAAGATTTTAACAAATTTGAATGGAAAAATTGTCAAGTTTTTGAGTATTGGAAAAAGTGGAAGTGCAAAATCGACTGGAATTGTTGAATTATTCTTTTTCAGGGATATTTCTAACACTCCTGAGCTTCCTATTGATCTACCTTCAAAAATGGTTCCAAGTCATGTGACTCTCAATGTGTCAGAATATAACATGTCATTTGTCCCAGCTCACAAACAGTATTATCAATTTCCATTGCCTATTATTGGTGTAGATCCTATGGGTTTTCTTAATGTTACTGATTTTGACAAGTTTTTGATTACTGGCAGATTGCCACTTCATGTTGACCTCGTTTCCAAATGTAAAAACAAAAAAGATTGTCTAAAACGTTATGCAAACAAACCAATTAACATGCCAGATGTCATTCTCTATTACATTTATCCAGATCAAGTCGAATCACAAGCTATAGAAATCAATCAACGTCTTCAACTAATTGCCGATCATGGAATCACATGTATCTTAATGTTTCCATCTGGTAATTTCGACTCAGAAGTTGACCTTTCATTCATTAATGGCAGATTCGCAAACAAATTCTTCCTTTACGATTTCTATAGAAGAGATGATCCAGGTTCTGCTAATAATCCAAATATTTATAAGCGAAATGCTGATTTGTTAATGAGAATGTTGGAGATTGCGAATGGAAAGAGAGTTAGTGAGCAGAGGGAAAATTAAAGAACTAAACGGAAACTATTCTTCATCTCTTAAACACAATCTTGGATATTTACCTTAATAAACAAAACATTGTAACAAATTATGCTGAAAAAACAAAAGTTTTTGTTCCTTAATTCAAAAAAGTTTAAAAAAAAAATGATCACAATGAACATGTCTCATCCTCATCCTCCGATGCTACTCTATAATTCTCAACAGCACGCCTATCTAGTATCATTAGTCTCCCAAAATAAATTAACAATGCAAATAATTCAAGAATCAATTTGTTATATAAATTGTAATGTTCCGAATTATTTACCTTCCTTGTTGTTTGTGGCGGTTGAGAATAAAAAGATGGATATGATTAAATTATTATTGAGTTGTTCGCAAATTAATCCGAATATTGGGGTATGTGATGGTTCTTATTTAAATATATTTAATAATATTTATTGTAAAATATTTACAAAAATTTATTTAGAAAGTTGAACATGTTAATGATGGATCCATGGTTATTTCACCTCTTGGACTTGCTGTAAAGAAAGGATTAACAGAAATTGTAAAAATCCTCGTACTGGATCCAAGAATTGAAATTGGGACTGGATGTGTAAAGTATGAAACATTTGGAGCAACAAATTACACTTGTTTGGATCTGGCATGTGGAGAATCTTTATTTAAAGTTGTGGAATTGTTACTGTTTCATCCATATGTTCAAGTTAATCTGCCACTTTTACATCATCATACACACCTCAGACGATATCCATTGACAGTTGCTTGTGAAAACAACTGTATTGAAATTGTGAGATTGCTGCTTGCACGACCAGAAATTGATATCAATGTTACACAAGATCCAAAGCATAACAATTGTATCGATCAATTCAGTTTGAATACTCCTATGTTTTCTATTGAGGAAATTAGAAAGGTTGGTTTCAATTATCAAATAATCTATGATTTGATTGTTGCTGGACTCACTCCAAGCAATCCTACGCTTCTTAAAGATTATTCACTTGAGGAAATTAAGAGGAGAAAGTTCAAGTATTTCACAAATAGAATTATAATCCAGAAATTTGAATGGGACAAAATTGGAGATACCAATTTGACTGCATTTGTTCCCTTACTGAAAATAATGGATCCAGAATTAGAGACCATTTTGAAATTAGGTGTAAACTTTGATAAGGAAGAAGAACGTTTTGTTCAAACGGTTATTGATTTTCTTATTTATGGATCGGATATAGATTTTCGTCAATTATTTCAGGCCTATTCTAATAAGGGTCATAATGCCAATATTAAGGGAGTTATTGGTGCTCTCGTTCTGTGTGGTTCATTACCACAAATCAATAGTTTATGTTACGAGTGTATATCAATACTTATCAAAGACGAATATTCTTTAGATATGGTATTTAATATTTGGAAAATAATTCATGAGTACGAGAAGAGATTTCCATCATTATTGCAAAGTATGAACAAGTCCCTTGTTGGAAAAATCAAACAGCATGTATTAGACTGTATTGGAAACTTTGGACTAAAGAAGGATGCTAATATTTCAGAATTTCTTTCAGATTTTGATAATTACCATGAAGTCATTGAAGCCTTAATGAAAAGAAGAGCAACACCCTCATTCCCAAAGTTTAGCAAAAACGAAACCATCTCATTTCCATTTTCATCAGTTAAATTATTCGACCAACTTGCTTTAGATTCAACAACTGATATAGAATTGCAAATTGGAAAAGAGAGAGTGAAATGTCACAGAACAATTCTCATGTCAAAGAGTACTTATTTCGCTACCTTATTGAATGGAAATTGGAATTCACAAAACGATAACTATCCTATTGAAATGAAATATCTCATTCAATTCTGTTATGGATTTTTAGAATATGTTGAACCTAAACTTTGCATTCCATTGATGAAATTAGCAAATATGCACGAAATGAAAGAATTAGCCATTCAGGTTGAAAAGCAAGCAATCATCACAAGAATCAATGTTGCTGAATATTTGAATTCACTTCTAAATGATGTTGAAGAACAGGAGAATGAAATTATTCAAGAGTTCATTCGAAGGATTGTCTTGTACAAATGACGAGTTTTGATTGAATGATTCTCTACATGCCAATCAAAATAGAAACGCAACTTGTCAAAATATTCAACATCAAAATCAGATATTTTCACATCAAAAAAATTACATTTTCACATGCTTGGAAAATCTTCATCTATTTATTTTACATCATCATGAAAACTAGCGGAATTTACAATTTACAACAACAAGTACAATTGTGCATACAAAGGTACATGCAACAATAAATACGAAAGCTAGAGTTAAAAAGATTAGCAAAGCCAATCTTCCAAAATCGTTTTCAGTATTTGACAAGGAGAGGCCTAGAACATTGTAAGGTGTAGGAATAGGAAATAACTTTATCAACACATCCAATACTGATACATGTGCTTCTCTTTAGGGCACATTCAAATGCCAAACAATCATCGCGTCTTGTACCAGTCAAGGATAAGGCACTCATAACGATACCAACTATAAAACCAATGGATATGATAGAGAAACAAGCACCAATAGTAGCCAAGAGCAATAGACCTTTATTCATCTTGTGTGGATTGATTTTTTTGTATGGATGATGATTGTGAATAGAGGCGAGTTATGTGTGTGTGGATTGTTTATTGTTGTGGAGGTACTTCCACGCGTTTGTGGATCGACGGAAATAACTGATCGAAATTCTATTTTTAAATTCTATTAGAAATGACTGGGTGATCGGCCGTTCTCGTGTATAACTCCCATGAAAACATTGTATACAATCAAATGCATATGGATGAAAAGGATTGATGTTTACTATTATATTTAAATCATGATCATTATCAAGACCATCACCAAAACTAAATAATTCGAAACCTTTACAATATCCACACTACTCACTGATATCTTTGTAAAGGTAGAAAACGAGCTAGGATATCCAAACGCAATCACCTTACATGCAGTACAACTTGTCTTGTGATTATTCATATAAATTGAAAAATCAACAACATCACCAATGATGGCATGAACTCTATTTCCAATAACTGCATCGAATTGTTCATCATATCCCAATGGAAGATAGGTTGCAAGTGGAAGGTTTTCCTTGATCCAATCCTCAAAGATAGTTCCAGAATAAGCTCCCACAATGGTGCCATTCTTATTGAACGAGTAAACATTTGAACTATATCCAAGAGTTTCGTTATCCTTATTGTTTCGAATAAATCCGTATGAAGTGGAGCCATATGGACATGTTTGAAAGCTTACTTGAGTGGCTCTATCTGATGAATAAGAAGTGTCAGCAACAACAACATCACATCTTCCATCATTTACGGCATTTGACAAGGATGTAAAAAATCCATCGGTTGTGTTTATGAGAACGAGTGAATTTTCCAATGACATTGAATATTGAGTATTGATTGCCTTGGTCAATTCTTCAGCAACCAACTTGTAGGCACTCGTCCAAGGTTCCATTGATTCCATTTGATAACAATTCTTCAGTTGACTCATTCCTTTGAATGGATTCACACTCGGAAACACAACATTTGATGAACATTTAGGAACGTTGAAGAGAAGAATATCGAATATTTTGCTTTGGAATGTAGATTCTTGAACAATGTTTTGAATGGCAGCATTAATTGCTTGTGTGAAGAGAGCTTGTTGACTATTTGTCAAGTCAATTGTCATGAAAATGATCAACACTGCAAGAAAATTACTAGCAATAGATGAAGGAGCAAACATTGAGATGTTTTTTATGTGAATGTTGTGTGTGATTTTGTTTGTTGATTTGGCCTTTCAAAAGTCTTTTCAAAAACTTTAAGTGTCACATTACAAAGATGCGTCTCTGTGTCTCACATTTACAA